TTTCTTACACTCTCCAATGCACTTCATAGTAAATACAAAGAAAAAGAAGTACCTTCGGACAAATCGATAAGCAAAGCTCTCATCAGTTCTTTTTCTTTCCATTTAATCCGTTTGATCCTTTTATACTATCTGTTGAGACTTAAACCATTGTGGAGCTTGTTAGCAGTGCCACACATGTAAAGTCATTGCTTTTGCAGAGAAATTGGGTGGCAAAAAGTCTGGTTCTTGTAGCAGAAGCACATTTGCAATCATTTCTACTGCAGACTATGTTCGAGTTGGCCACACTTTGTTAACATAGAAAAATGTCAGCATTTTGCCATTGCATAGTCGGAATGTGAAGTTTCCTCATGTGAGATAAAATATGGCTATGTATTATTTTCACAATTATTTTACCTCTTAAATATAAAGAATCTGAATACAAATAAGCTAAGAGGATGTGGAAATCCTTTGGGAAGACTTTTTTTTTATTTCAATTTATTGATTTGCATTCATTCACTGTACATCATTACAGCATACAAAATGAGATTTTCCATCCAGAGTACACTGTATATTGTCTCAATCAAGCACAGCAACAAACATGTTATTGTCAGCAAATGATCTTCCATTTCTTGTTTTCTGTATGTTTTGCTTTTTCCCCCCATCCTTGATTCCCTATCTCTTACCCTCTGCCATCTCCCACTCTCCTCCCACACTGTCTCTGGTATCTATGTTTTCTTTCTATACTGTTTTCCCCCCACATTTTATTCAATCACCAAAGACCCTAATCAATCCAAATACCCTCATAGCAAACACAGGTGACACACACATTTCCATGAACACAAGTCTAACTTTACGCATCCTATAAAGCAGCACCTAGCTGGGGCTACATATCCTACTGCAGTCATTGAATAGATATATATTTTTTTCCCTGAAACTTTTTTTTATAACTCAATTTACATTCCTTCCCTAGGCATCATCACAGCACACAAAATGCGATCTCCCATCCAGTACACACTGCATAGTGACTCAATCATGCACATTACAAAAAATTTTCCATTTCTAGTTCCTAGAATTATTTCCACCCCTCTTTCTGACCCTCTGTCCCTTCCCACCCTCCTCTCACACCACCTCCGGTGTCCACAATTGTCCTTCATTCCCTTCCCACCCACAATGCATTGATCACACAATTTCCTACATAATCTAACTAATTTCAATGGTGAGTTCACTC